AACACCCTCCAGTTCCATCCACGTCGTTGCAAATGGCAAGATCTCATTCCTTTTGATGGCTGCATAATATTCCATTGTGTATATATACCACCTCTTCTTTATCCATTCATCTGTCGATGGACATCTTGGCTCTTTCCACAGTTTGGCTATTGTGGACATTGCTGCTATAAACATTGGGGTGCACGTACCCCTTCGGATCCCTACTTTTGTATCTTTGGGGTAAATACCCAGTAGTGCAATTGCTGGGTCGTATGGTAGCTCTATTTTCAACTTTTTGAGGAACCTCCATACTGTTTTCCAGAGTGGTTGCACCAGCTTGCATTCCCACCAACAATGTAGGAGGGTTCCCCTTTCTCCGCATCCCTGCCAACATCTGTCATTTCCTGACTTGTTAATTTTAGCCATTCTGACTGGTGTGAGGTGGTATCTCATGGAGGTTTTGATTTGGATTTCCCTGATGCCGAGCGATATTGAGCTCTTTTTCATGTGTCTGTTGGTCATTTGGATGTCTTCTTTGGAAAAATGTCTGTTCATGCCTTCTGCCCATTTCTTGATTGGATTCTTTGTTTGGGTGTTGAGTTTGATGAGTTCTTTATAGATTTTGGATACTAGCCCTTTATCTGATATGTCATTTGCAAATATCTTCTCCCATTCTGTCGGTTGTCTTTTGGTTTTGTTGACTGTTTGTTTTGCTGTGCAAAAGCTTTTTATCTTGATGAAGTCCCAATAGTTCATTTTTGCCCTTGCTTCCCTTGCCTTTGGCGGTGTTTCTAGGAAGAAGTTGCTTTGCCTGAGGTCAAAGAGGTTGCTGCCTGTGTTCTCCTTTAGGATGTTGATGGACTCCTGTCTCACATTGAGGTCTTTCAACCATTTGGAGTCTATTTTTGTGTGTGGTGTAAGAAAATGGTCCAGTTTCATTCTTCTGCATGTGGCTGTCCAATTTTCCCAACACCATTTGTTGAAGAGACTGTCTTTTTTCCATTGGACATTCTTTCCTGCTTTGTCAAAGATGAGTTGGCCATAGAGTTGAGGGTCCATTTCTGGGCTCTCTATTCTGTTCCATTGATCTATGTGTCTGTTTTTGTCTTGATGATGACAGCTTTGTAATAGAGCTGGAAGTCCGGAACTGTGATGCCGCCAGCTTTGCTTTTCTCTTTCAATATTCTTCTGGCTATTCAGGGTCTTTTCTGGTTCCATACAAATTTTAGGATTATTTGTTCCATTTCTTTGAAAAAAGTGGGTGGTATTTTGATGGGGATTGCATTGAATGTGTAGATTGCTCTAGGTAGCATTGACATCTTCACAATATTTGTTCTTCCAATCCATGAGCATGGAACGTTTTTCCATTTCTTTGTGTCTTCCTCAATTTCTTTCATGAGTATTTAATAGTTTTCTGAGTACAGATCCTTTGCCTCTTTGGTTAGATTTATGCCTAGGTATCTTATGGTTTTGGGTGCAGTTGTAAATGGGATTGACTCCTTAATTTCTCTTTCTTCTGTCTTGATGTTGGTGTATAGGAATGCCACTGATTTCTGTGCATTGATTTTATATCCTGCCACTTTACTGAATTCCTGTATGAGTTCTAGCAGTTTTGGGGTGGAGTCTTTTGGGTTTTCCACATAAAGTATCATCTCATCTGCAAAGAGTGGGAGTTTGACTTGTTCTTTGCCAATTTGGATGCCTTTGATTTCTTTTTGTTGTCTGATTGCTGTGGCTAGGACTTCTATTACTTTGTTGAATAGCAGTGATGATAGTGGACGTCCCTGCCATGTTCCTGACCTTAGGGGGAAAGCTCTCAGTTTTTCCCCATTGAGAATGATATTTGCTGTAGGTTTTTCATAGATGGCTTTTATGATATTGAGGTATGTACCCTCTATTCCTATACTCTGAAGAGTTTTGATCAAGAAAGGATGCTGTACTTTGTCACATGCTTTTTCTGCATCTATTGAGAGGATCATATGATTCTTGTTCTTTCTTTTGTTAATGTATTGTATCACGTTGATTGATTTGCAGATGTTGAACCAACCTTGCAGTCCAGGGATAAATCCCACTTGGTACAGCAGACCGTTTTAATAGAATTTTGTTAAGTACCATGATAAAGACATGTTTGGAGTATCTTAGGAGTATCTAAGGGAATTAAATCTTGCTGAGTCTATTGTGTTAGCAACTGTGATGAGGAGGAATGGCCCGCCTGACCGTCCATTCAAGGGCAGAGGTGGGGGAGTATAAAACTTCCTTTTTCTTTATGCTCTTGTCCACCCAACCTCATCCTGCCTTGTGATGTTGAGTTTGAATTCTTGTCTGAAAAACATGGGGAAAAAATTCTTGTTTGAAAAACATGAAATGCAGCACAAGAATTTTTAAGATGTCTATTTCAACTTCACCACATTCATAGAAAATTATCGCTGAGTGGTTTTGTTTTCACCCATTGCTGTTCTCTTAGCTGACAGATTGAAAGATTAAAAAACAAAACAAAACCATTTAGTATATGAGCTGCCGAAGCGAGCACCAAAACAAAACCACTTAATTGGTCCTCTTAACTGACATGAGCTTCGGGATGATTGTTCATTTCTCTTACATGTTACTTTTGTGGAAGGAATGCTACACAAGAAGCACAGAGCCGTATTCATTTCCTCAAATTCATAACTGATGCCTGTTCTCTGTTCTCAGATAGTGGATATCGTTACCCTGTAATAGGATGAGATGCAGTCCTAATAATGTCACTGCCTCCAAGATTTCATGAGTTATATAAAATGGAATCGATTCTGCATACCTACCCTGTCAAAACCACTCTTGTGGAAATAACGGGTTTTCATTGGTGTTTTCTTTTAGAATTTTTTAAAATATAAAATACTTAGTTCCTATTTGCAAACTTAGTGAATAAAAAGCTTGCATCTCTTGTGGAACAGATGTTTTGTGGGATGCAGAAGGACGGATCTTAGGAAGTTGCATGGAGGTGAGAGAGCCTGAGCATTAGAAAAGTTGCATAGTTGAGGGGATCAGTGAGGGGAGCAGAAGCACAGAGACAGGTTTCCATCATGTGCGGGGAAGTAGGAAAATGCATGTGCCTATGAGACCAGGGGTGATCGCTGCTTCAACCTGCCTGATCCTGACAGTCAACCTATTTTCTTCTTGGTTGTCCCCATATTTACTTAATACTGCCAAGACTATAAAGTACAAATTGTGTTTATCCTCAGTCTTCCTCCTAATTAAATGTGAAAGTACCTGCCAGCAAAATGGAAAAATTATTCTAAACACCTTTATAGTGCTGCTGCTTTTCTTTAACTGAAGAATAATTGGCATGCAATAATACATTAATTTCAGGTGTACAACACAGTGATTTGATATTTATATACATTACAAAATGGTCACCACAGTAAATCTAGTTACCATCTTTCTCCATACGAAACTGTTTTATTGACTATATTCCCTATGCTGCACTTTCCATCCCCATGCCTCAACCATATTACAAATGGAAATCTGTACCTCTTCATCCCCATTACCTATTTCACCCCCCCCCCACTTCCCCCCTGGCAACCATCAGTTTGTTCTCTTGGAGTCTATTTCTGTTTTGTTTTGTTTTGTTTGTCACTGTTATTATTTTTTAGATTTTGTTCATTATTCCATTTCTGGTATTGTTTTTTAGATTACACATGTAAGTGAAGTCATGATTTTGTCGTTCTCTGTCTGACTTATTTCACTTAGCGTAATATTCTCTAGCTCTATCCATGTTGTCACAAATGGCAAAATTTCACTATTCTTTATGGCTAAGTAATATTCCATGTGAGTGTATAAATATATATATAATATACAAATAAATATATATAATAAATATATAAATATATTTTGTATGTAAAAATATAAAATTTATATATAAAATATATATAGTAAAATTTATATATAAAATATATAAATATTATATAAATACACACACACACACATATACACTCTACTTCTTCCTTATCCATATATCCATTAATGGACATTCAGGTTGCTTCTGTATCTTGGCAATTTTAAATAATGGTGCAATGAACACAGTGGTATATATGTCTTTTTGAATTAGTGTTTTCATTTTCTTTGGATAAGTACTTAGAAGTGGAATTACTAGATGATATGTGTTTCTATTTTTAATTTTTTAAAAAGATTTATTTTTTAAGATATTTTTTCAAGGATTTATTTCTTTATTTGAGAGAGAGAGACATAGAGAGAGCACAAGCAGGGGGAGAGGCAGAGGGAGAAGCAGACTCCCTGTTGAGCAGGAAGCCGGATGTGGGACTCAATCCCAGGACCCTGAGATCATGACCTGAGCCGAAGGCAGACGCTTAACCTTCTGAGCCACCCAAGTGCCCCTGTTTATTTATTTTAGAGAAAGAGCACATAAGCAGGGGAAGTGGAGGGAGCGATAGAGATTCTGAAGCTGACTCCAGTGGAGTCTGACGCAGGGCTCAATCTCATGACCCTGAGACCAAGACCTGAGCCAAAAACCAAGAGTTGGATGCTTAACCAAATGCACCACCCAGGCACCCCTATACTTTTAATTTTTCGAGGAACCTCTGTATTGTTTCCCATAGTGGCTACACCAATGAATTTAGTTATTTTGACTGGCTGGTGATACTGTTAAATAATCTATGGAAAAAACACTTCATTCTAGGACATATTTCTCCATTCTTATTCTGTTCATTAATTTAATTATTCATCAGATAACTGAATGCTAGACACTGGTTTGAGATTTACTTGATTATGTCATTGGAGTCTCATTTTACCTTTTCCTGTGTATGTCAGTCGCCCTAATTCAGAGAGAGGAAACATCCCAAGTCCATGAGTCTAAGACGAGAGAGACTTTAATTTAGGTCTCTGATTCCAAAGTAAATAGCCACTGTCCTCTTGCTTCCTACGTACCTGTTCCCACTTAGTCGTCTGGCAAATACCTTCTGATTGGGTGGAAGATTAGAGCAGTAGATTAATTCATTAATAAATCTTGAGTGCTCACAACAAACAAGGACCTGTTACTCTGGTTATGGAGATGATGAAAAGGGCTTTTATACAGTTTATCATAACGTTTTTGAAATGATTGTGAAGGAAGAGCTAGAATCTATGTTAGAAGAGGAGATGGAAGATTTCCCCACTTTTGGAGACTCCCAGAGTGACTATGATATGGTAGTCCACCCTTTCTATGCCTGTTGGCAGTTTCTGCACTCAGAAGAACTTTCCTTGGAAGGAAGAATATGATACATGGCAAGCTTCAAACAGCTGGGCAAAAGAGCCATGGAAAAAGAAAAAAAAAGATTCACGACAAAGCAAGGAAGGAGAACGAGCTTGTGCGCCAGCTGGTCTCATTCATCCATAAGAGAGACAGAAGAGTGCAGGCGCATCCGAAGCTCATGGAGGAACAGAACGCCGAGAAGGCCAGGAAGGCAGAGGAGATGAGGCGGCTACAGAAGCTGAAGCAGGCCAAACTGGCTGAGCAGTACAAGGGACAGAGCTGGATGACCGTGGCCAACCTGGGGAAGGAGCTCAAGGAAATGGAGGTGGGCTACGAGGAGTTTGGAGATGGATCAGATGAAGATGAGACAGAGGAATCTGAGCCCAAAGATGGGACAGAGGAATCTGAGCTCAAAGATCGGCACGGTGGTAAAGACGGTGATGAGGCTGAGGATGCTGAGCTGTATGATGACCTTTCCTGCCCAGTGTGTGACAAATCTTTCAAGATGGAAAAGGCCATGAGGAATCATGAAAAATCAAAGAAGTATCGGGAAATGGTTGCCTTGTTAAAACAACAGTTGGAGGAGGAGGAAGAAAATTTTTCAGGACTTCAAACTGATGAAAGTCCATTGAATGCCAATTCTGAGGAAGAAATAGAAGATGCACCAAAACAAAAGCTTTCCAAAAGGCAGAAGAAAAAGAAACAGAAGCCAGCACAGAATTATTATGATAACTTCAATGAAAATGGAACTGGAGAAGAAGTAAAGTTTGAATCAGAAGATACCAACTTAAATCAAGACTCTGCCAAAGAATTGGATGGGAGTCCCCAAGAAAGTATCACTGTCACTGAGACTGTCGAACTCTGTGATGATCCAAAAAATGTAGCTAAGAATGCTCCTAAACCCAAAGGAAAAAAAGCCAAAGATATGAAAAAATCTGTCAAAGTACCTGCTAAACCACAGACAGTGAGTGATGTTCTTATCAGCTATGCAACCTGCCATAGTGAATTTCCATCCCGGAATAAACTTTTTGACCATCTGAAGGCCACAGGTCATGCAAGAGCACCTTCATCGTGTTCTTTAAACAGTGTAACAAGTAGTCGAAGCAAGAAAGAGAAACATAAAAACAGAAATTCTGCCAACGCTTTTTCTTTTTGATTGTCTCTAGATTTTGAAACCAAAAACTGAACTGAAGTCATCTAAAGAGTTAAAATTTCGGTGATCTGCAATTTATTGCATTGTGGAAGATTATTTTTATCTTGTAAAAACATTTTTTTGTTTAATATATATTTTTTAAACATTTCATTAGTGATTGAATTCTACTTTGCCATCTGAATTGACTTGAATGTCTCAAAACAGGTACATATTGTAAAGTATACATTCTTGATTTCTCTTGGCTCACATGGACAGAAATGTACAGGGAGAATTAAATTATTTTAACACAAAAAAATTGCTGGTGTTTAGGCAGTGTACAAAACGAAAATCCTGCCTCTAATGAAAATAACTTTCTAGATACATAGAAACATATCCTTTAAGTGCTTTATTGACCATCTACCTGGTTGGTTAGATTTTTCAGAGTAGATACAATGTGTTTCACTCCTGATTCCCTACTTTCTGATTCAGTGATTATTTAATGAATCAGTATTGAACTAGGCATGATGATATATAATATGGAGCTTAAAAGGGCAGTGACATGTCATATTGCCTAGGCTTGAATCCTGGAGAAATGACGTTCTGTCCCCCCACAAGTAATGTATTTTCTCAGTAGTCAGTTTCACCATCGTAAAATAGTGTAAGAATAGTGTCAACATACAGGTTTTAATAATATCTGTGTGAATGGGCACATTGGACGTCCTTAGAGAAGTTGTTGGAGCAGAGCGAGTTCTCAGTTAATGTCACCCAGGAGTCATGGGCAGCTATGACGTGATGTAGAGAACACAGGGCTTGGAATCAGAACTGATCCTCTTTCCTTTCTTTATCGTGGCTGTCGGCTTCTCTGAACCCAGGTTTTTATAGCGACATAAATATAAAATTGTCATTCTGTTCTTGAGAAAAATTTTATTGTGAGGATTAAGTGCAACATGAAGGAGTCATTCATTCAAGAACTATTGTATAGCAAATATGGTAAGTGATAATTACTGTCTTACTTGGCTGGAAATAGGAACAAAAAAGACATAGACGTGTGTTCATGAAATTTACAGTGAAAAGTTAATTCATTGTTATGGATGTTTTCTCCTTTATTTAGATATAGAGATTTATAAAGATTTCATCTTCAGCGACAGTGTTTGTGGACCATCAGGTTACCCCAGAGGTATCCCTATTCAGTAGGAGAAAAGCTATTTTTTGGTGTATCAGGCCTGGATGAGATGAAATATTTAAAGAGTGACTTGTGTAGCCAGGAATAGCATGAGATGGGTTCATCTTTGGGTTTATCAGGTTGGGAACCAAGTATTTTTTCTAGTACCGTAACTAAATCACAAAGATTTATTCTTTCTATATTGACAATCCTAAAGAATTGTTTTCTTTTAAAATTTGAAGTTTTACATAAACCTTGTTTGTCATTTCTCTCAGACTGCTTTAAATTATTTTAACAACCCATCTAAGGATTTATCTTCAGGGTTAAATATATATATCATATTTTGTTTTCCCAACAGTGAAATTGAATTTGTAGGAGAAGCTGTGGAGAAACCAGAAATGGTCTGATTTTGGCTTTGACTTTCTGTAGATCAAGTTTTCTTTTGCTGTCAATGCAATGAAAAATGATCTTTAATCAGTGACTTCCAGCAAGTGATGCAGGCAGGCTGGGTCTGAGGACCCAGAGGGGGTCCCACAGGATCAGCCAAGAGGGTCCCTGGCTATGTGCAGGATAGAAATCAACTGCAATCCAGGAAGGAATGAGAATAGAGTTTATCGAAGGTATAGAGAGACAACAGGTACAGACAGAGTGTTTGGGAGACTGAGGAAGAGAGAGAGAGTCTTGTCTTTGCTCTCAGGGTCTGGGAATTTTATTGAGGATTGTGGTCTGGTGTATGTGTCGTCTCAGGCATCCAGGGACCGGTTAGAACAAAGACAAATGTCCAGGTCCTCCGTAAGTCACTTATTCCCTGGAGCCAGGGGTCTTGGAGCTGAGATGTCTAGCATCGGTGGCCTGGATTATGCACATGGCAGTTAGGTCTGGTCACTCCTTAGATGTTATCTGTTGTGCTGGGAGACTCTGAGGAAATCATTACCTCCGTGTCCCTTACAAGGAGGACATGCATTATTTGTAGTATGAGACATGTGTAAGGTGGGGGTGTAGGTCCTAGCAAAAACAGAAAATAGGAAAAGGAGCCAAAAGCGGAATTTTATGGAATTTTTAAATGTCCCTATCTCACAAGTAGTGAGGTAACATACACATACTTTTTGGATATCAGTTTAAAATTTACCTGTTTTTTAATATAATTTACAAAAACTTATAATTCATCTCAGCTTTGATGTTTCAAGGACAGAGGTTTCTAAGCTTGTTAAAAGTTTTTAAATTATAAGTAGTATAAGGCATTTCGGGAAACTACTAGGAATAATTCTCAAGATCACGATCCTTGCTGTCCCGTTTCCTCCAAACTTAGCTAAGGATCAGTGGGTGTATTTGTGAAACAGTGTGCCAATGAACACACTCACATTTTAATACTGGCTTCCACAGATGCAATGACCAAATGCCTACAAAAGGGTGGGTGTAACATGGTGATTCTTGGGGTATCGGTGGCTGTCCAAGGGGGGCGCTGGATGTTTTCACAGTAAGTAGGCTTTTTAACACCCACAAACAACAGTATAAGGATGGTGACGCATGCAGCCTGCACCCAGCCTTCTTATGCCCATTTATCTCGATGTGCACAACTTCGTCCTTCAGTGGTGGGATGCCATTGTGACCAAAAGTTAGCCTTGAAACAGTAGGCTTAGTATGCAAGGCTGAGAGAGGCCAGGGCATTCTGATTCCTACCAATTGCATTTCATGTGTCATAACCATGAATTTGGCAAGGCCTTATTGGGGCATATGTTGAATTAATTGGGCTGCCTCATGCTGCTTAATTAAAGCCTGAGGAATTGTGATTAGCTGCATGGAAGGAATGGCATAGCTGGGTATACTGTGCTTTTTCTTGTTTCTTAACCACCTAAAGATTTCATCTTTAGCGATACTGTTTGTGAAGCATCAGGTTACCCCAGAGGTATCCCTATTCAGTAGGAGAAAAGCTAACAAGCCCAAAGGATTTTACCATGAATCTGTTCATTAGACAAGACACAGTTCACACATCAGTTGCAATGTGGATTTCAGCCCAAACTTCCTACAGAGATCAAAGCAGAGGCATTGTCCTTCCACATTGCGCATGACATTCTGAGACTTGAAGCCCAGTACTTAAAAAGATTTTGCTTATCTGTCCTTTCTGTACCATTTTAAAAGCCTTACAGGTAGGATGGATCCAAGTTAACTTGTTAAATGCAAATATAGCATATGTCATTTGTATTTAAATGACTTTAACATCCTGCAATATTACCTAGAGGTTTGCCTTCCAAATGGATATGAAGAATATTTTAATGAAGTCAGCTACAAGTAAAAACTGATCTTAAAAGACTGTGTAAATTGGCTTAATGCATTAAACTCTATGGAAACATTGATTTAAAAAAAAGGTGGGGGGAAGGAAAATTTTGTCTGACCAATCCATTAATGCTTTAAAATTCTCTTTCTTTTAGTCAAACATGTTAGCCAGTAATTTTTTTTCAATTTTATTTCTTCTCCAGAATAATGTGGGGATCATGTCTTTGTTCACGAGGCAATCCCTTCTTTGCTTATGAGCATCTCTCTCTCCCCTTTCTAGCCCTCCTTACACCCGTTCCTTCTCTTCTCTATCACCTTTGCTGACTTAGTGAGCAAGTAGAAATAATCCGATTGCAACCCCTTATTTTAGCCCCGTGGGAACAGGAGCTCCTCTAAACCTGCACTGGTAGCAGCCTCTGGCTTCTCTTCAGATGTGGCCGAGGCACAATATTGCCTCTACTCTCGGGGCCAGCATTGCTCCATTTGTGCTTTGGACCTCACCGTGCTCCCACTCAGAAAGTTCGCACCTGCCAAGGTTTCTTAGCTTTCCAGCACCCTCCATTTCTCCCCTTCTATTGGTGGATTGTTTGCATTGGCCTAAAAATAAGTACTAGTAACCATCTTTTAAAAATTGATTACATCCCTCTTTAGCTCTCATGCAGCTCTTTTCTTCCTCCTAGCAACTGAGTAAAAAAGGTGTATACTTGCTGTCTCCCTGTCCTAGGTCTCCTTCTATCCCCGATTTACTCCAGCCAGGCTTCTACCACCAGATGGAATTAAGGTTGTGTAAGTGCCTGATCTGCCAAATCAAGTGACTGCCCTGCAGCCGTCACCTTATGCTGACCACGCCCTGTCCCTCAAGATGCTTTCCTAGCTTCTGACACACCTCTGCAGTCTCTTTTCCTTTTCCCCTTCTGAGCCCAGGATTTGATTCTTGACCTTTCTCTTTTCTCTTCAGCATTACTTGCTAGGATAGATGTTGTCCTAGGTATTAAGCAGCTTCTATATGTTTATTATTTCTGTGTTCACAATCCAAATACGGACTGGTCTCCAGAGGTTCACATCCTACGTTGCACTTCTTGGTTGATCTATCCTCTTGAATATTCAATAGTTATACCAAACTTACGTTGTATCGTTATGCTAGATTTCCCCTTCCTGCCCAAACCAAGCCTCGCCTCACCAAGTCTTTCCAACCTAGTTGTTGCTGCATTATTCACCCAATTGTTTATCTCACAAATCGAGGACTTATGCGGCGCCTGGATGGCTCAGTCGTTAAGCATCTGCCTTCGGCTCAGGTCATGATCCCAGGACCCTGGGATCGAGCCCCGCATCAGGATCCCTGCTCCGCGGGAAGCCTGCTTCTCCCTCTCCCACTCCCCCTGCTTGTGTTCCCTCTCTCGCTGTGTCTCTCTCTGTCAAATAAAGAAATAAAATCTTAAAAAAAAAAAAAAAAAAGAAAAAAGAAAAAAGCCAAAAACAAACCAAGGACTTAGAAATCATCTCTAATTCTTCTGTGTATTTCATACCCTGCATCCTATTTATCTACCAGTCCCATATTGGATCTACTTCTCAAACATACCCCGAATCTAGCCATTGTACTTTTTTGGTCTTATAAACTGTTGAGGTTTAATCAGGGCCACTGTGTACCGTTGTTCATGTTGTACACAGCAATTTTGATTTCCAGCCACCAGCATCTCTCACACAGATACTATAATAATTTTCCCTACTTCCCCATCTCCATTCCTACTCACGTAAACAGTTGCCTATGAAATACCAAAGGTGAGCCTTTCAAAACAAAATAAAGCAAACAAAAGGACCAGATTCTGTCATTACCATGCATAAAACCAAACAATGGCTGCTCTAAGTCTTAGGCT